CAAGCACCTCTTGTACCCAGGGGGGCATCTTAGTCCTAGCAACACTGTTGTTTTACTAATTAGGAACGAGCAATGGTGGCGCCTGGTGCCTGTTCCTTCAATGAAAGAACTCAAGCCAACAGCATGACCACCCATTATCAGGACCAAGTAACTACTTAGATATTCACTGCCAAACCACCTGCATATTGATCAATCAGCAGCTACTCAAAGCCATTTATGGAGAGTACAACAGTTGAAGAGGAGTTATTCATAGAGAGGAAGATGACATGGGAGATGTCAGTAGCTATTTCTTCATATTGAAATATTAAAAATACATCTGTATGAGGCTGTAGGCTCCCCAACTTATAAAATTAGTATTGCAACACACAATTAGTATTGCAAGAAAACCCTACCTATGATTAAAATAATCATAAAAAAAAAAAGAAACTCTGCCAGCCTGACTCCTACAAGAAAATCTCTCTTCCACCCCTACGTTGTTCCAGGAAGCATACCCGCATCCCTCTCCAGAAACACAACTGAACAGATGTCTTTGCAGCATGCCTGGAAAGTGACCAAATTCAGGCTATTTTGGACCAGCAGGAGAAGCAAATTTCAGAATCCCAGAGAACACCCCGACCACGACCCTCTCTCTCCTATTAGGCATTAGTATCTCTCTTGGTGGCAGACAGCTCTTACTTCTGTGCAATGGGTGCCAGCAATGCTGGTTTTCCGTGAACTCTGACTGTCAAGTACCGCACAGGGTATATTCTAGCCCGCGGTTTAGATATGGACAACTTGCATGTCAGGTCCCTTGACCTCGGGAGAATTTCCGCATCGTGGAACTAGAATAAGGCCTGGTAAAAACAAATCAGTAAGATGCCAATACAGCCTCAGAAAAAAAAGTGCAAGTACTGTAGAGCTGCTGGACTAACAATATGTCCCCAAGTCTGTTCAGACCCTTCTTAAAGACACAGGTTATTCTTCAAACAGCAACAAAAAAAGCCCTATAAACTTCCAAAAGCCTCCTGAACACTAAGCAGAGCAATGTGCATTAACAGATTAGAAACTTCTCTTGGCTTTGTCCTGGGATAGCTGTTCTTCATGCACAGGACTCCATGTTTCTCAGGGCCAATCGCCCACCTCAAATTCTCAGCCATCAGTGCCTCCCTCCATGCTTGATGCACCTTGGAGGAGTCTGCCCCCGTAGTTGGTTTAAGTGACTCTTTCAGGGGATCCTTGCCTTGCTGACTCTTGGCTGAAACAGCTCCTCATATGACTGTACTCCATCCACGGGAACGCTTTAGGTGTGTCAAGACTTATCACGTGGCCAGAATTTCCTCGCTGCTGCTGTGTTGTTCAGAAACCTTTCAGAGCATCAAGGTGCCTGACAAAGGACTCTGTCCTTCTTTGCCTGAGCCCTGGGTCACGGAGTCCAGTCTCCTGCATTCACAGGTGATGATTTATCCAAGGGGAGGGGGGGTACAAGGTCTTCGGCTTTGCTCCCTCTTGCACACAACAAGATGCAAAATGTTTTGGAGGTAAGAACAACCCTACAATGTGCTATGGGAAAAGAGGGGAGACTAGAAGCGCTATTAATGCCATGGCCACTGCAATGGCAGAGGTTAAATATGCTCAGATCTTAGGGAAAG